AGTTGATACATAACCTCATTTGCTAAGCATAGTCGTATCGTCAATGCCGCTCGCTGTTACAATTCTTCCCAATCTTCATCCTCAATGGCATCTGGATTTGCTGCCCGCAAAGCCTTCAAGCCTTCAAGATTCCCTGTTGTGCCAACAGATGTTTCACCCTGGTTTGCCATAATTCGAAGTTACCAGTTCCGTCGAACTTCACCACCTCGAATTTTGCACCAGAAAATGCCATATGAAAATTATTCCTGCAACGAACCTTTCTGCAAAAAATTACTCTGCAAAAATCCTTGTAAATTTTTTTTTTGAAAAGAAGAAAATCTTTTTCCCCTAATTAATGAATTTTACTTAATTAAATTTCTTTAATTAATTTTTCCTTAATTAAATGCTTTTAATAAACATAATTTTAACTTCCCTTTCCAATCCTCTACTGCAGCCTTCAGCTGAAGAAATTCCAAATTCCTTTCAAAATTGCTCCTTTGCACAGCAGCCTTTACCGGAGCCAAAATTGGAAGGGAATCCGCAGCACCAACAACAATAGAAGCTATTTTATTCCTTTATTCTCGGCCACCGATGGAACGCTCCTTTCCTTTTCTTCCCGGACAGCGCTCCTTCCTTTTCTTCCCGGAATCACCTCCTCGCGCAGGAGATCGATGTTGTATCACGATCCAACTGTTCGCTAGCTCCTGTATCGCGATCCACTGTTTCGCAAACTCCTCGCGATCCCGTGTTTCGCGAACTCCTGCCCTGTCGATCCGCAGAAGCCTCGCACACGTCGCCTGAATGCCTCGCGGAAGAATTGCGGAAAGAACAACGATTTGTGCTTATCGTGATTCTGCTTCTCCCTCCCGCGATTCGCCTCTTCCGCGATTCTCTTTCCGTTGCCGAAACAGCAACTTCTTCGCGATCCTTCCCGACGCCTCCCTCGCCGAACTCCTTCAAATCTGCCTTCAAATCTGCGTCGTCGGCCGAATACCTCGATTCCGAACCGAAGCCACGCAGATCCCGAAACTTCTCCTTCCAACATCCCCAAATCGTTATTCTTACTTCCTGCGCCTTCACAATTTTCTTCTCTGCCCTCGAACCTGCGCTCTGATACCACTTGTTGAGAAAATTAGGGCGAAGAAAAACTAAAACGACATAAATCCAGAAGAACACAGAGATTTAACGAGGTTCGGCAAAGATGCCTACGTCCTCGGGAGCAGAGCGGCGAGTTCCTTTCAATATTCATAAAAGAGGTTACAGAATAGAGGGATACCTCATGGGATTACTAACAGACCTATTTATAACCCCACGAGTAAATCCTAAGCACAATATGTAATTACAACATTACCCCTATACCATACCGCGGGGCTTTGCGCCCGCATTCCAACCCACGTAACTTCCCAATTTGGACAGATTCTTCCGCTCTGATCCCTAGCGTCTGTCCCGATATGGTATATGAGTCATACCATAACAATAACAACACTAAATTAATAGGTACTTGAAAACTTATCATACATTCAATAAATACAATAGTGGTATATAAGTAAATGCCCTTAATCAGTTTATATATATATAAACATAGTAAATAGTTTCACGAAACTTCAGTGAAGCAATCTTAAGGTGGAAAAGTCTCACAAGAAACCCTAATCTCATAAATGCCACAAGCAGGACTTAGTCTATTTTTTCTCCGTGAAAATTTGACCCAGAAAAAAAAAAAAAATTAGTCCTCGAGGCCACCCTATATAACGCTGCAGTATGTTTCTATTCTCTTATCCAAGAGAAAAAAAATTATATATTTATATATATCGAAGCTATTTCTGAAAATTTTTAAGAGAAAGCCATGAAAAAGCACAGTTTCTTCGTCTCCATTATCGCCGTTAGCTCGCTCCTTAGCTTCCTCATTGCAGGTTCGAGTTTCAGTCTCCAATTTCTCTCCTTTTCGTATTTATATTTAATCATCATTTGGTATTTTCGTAATTGTATTATGTTATTATGTTATGTATCGAAGCTATTTTTTAAAATTAAAAAATTACCTTTTTTTTTTTTTTTCAATCAGGAGTGGAATCAATAGGGGTCTGCTATGGCAGGGATGGGAACAATCTCCCTTCACCAAGTGACGTCATTGCTCTCTACAAATCCAACAATATTGGAGGGATTCGGCTGTACAGCCCCGACCAAGACGCCCTCCAAGCCCTCCAAAACTCCAACATTCCCGTCATCCTCGACGTCCCCAACTCCGACATCCCCTCCCTTGCCTCCTCCTCCTCCTCCGCCGCCTCTTGGGTACAAACCAACATCCAGCCCTTCTCCTCCTCCGTCTCCTTCCGCTACATCTCCGTCGGCAACGAGCTCATCCCAAGCTCTCAAGCCCAATCTATCCTTCCTGCCATCCAAAACCTTCAAAACGCCTTACAATCCGCCGGCCTTCAAATCAAGGTCTCCACTTCCGTCTCCACCGGCGTTCTCTCCACCTCCTACCCTCCTTCCGCCGGCGCTTTCTCCTCCGACGCCCTCACCACTCTGCAACCAATCATTAACTTTCTCGCCAGCAATGGCGCTCCCCTGCTCGTAAACGTCTACCCTTACTTCAGCTATGCCGGCGACACCGCCGACATCTCCCTCGAATACGCGCTGTTCACCTCGCAGGGGACGGTGGTGCAGGACGGTGGGCTGAGTTACCAGAATCTGTTCGATGCGCTTGTTGATGCGGTTTACTCGGCGTTGGAGAAGACGGGAGGTTCTGGGGTAGCGGTCGTGGTGTCGGAGAGCGGGTGGCCGTCCGACGGCGGGACGGCGGCGACCGCAGATAATGCGCAGACCTATGTTTCTAATTTAATTAAGCATGTGGGGCAGGGGACGCCGAAGAGGCCGGGGAGTATTGAGGCATATATATTCGCCATGTTTGATGAGAATGAGAAGCAGCCACAGGGTATAGAGAATCACTTTGGGTTGTTCACTCCCGATAAGCAGCTTAAATACTCCATTTCGTTTTAGGCATAAAAGCTTGCATGCAGCTCGAAATAAAGCGACGTGGAGCAACACACGTTGTCACGTGGTATATGTATTGGGTAATAAAAGCTTGGTGTTTTAATTTATTTGGTCTGGTTTCTTATGTGATTTTTAAGGTTTTGAGAAATATTTTCTCATCATAATAGCTAATGGGGTTGATTATATCTATGGCAGAAAGAAAAGAAAGTTATGCGAGGATTAAACAACTAAAAACAAACTGATTAAAAAGTACTAGTTTATGAATAAGGATTGTTATTGTGTCAATCACAACTTACAATTAATGACATACTAACTAACATATTGAGTTTCATTAACATTATATTAAGCATTTCTTTAATCATATGCTCATAAGCTAACTAGATGAATGGTTTTGGGTTTCTATTCATTTCAGTTTGGGGCTTTATGATTTTTGTAGAATTATTTTGATTTTGAAGGATTAAATTAATTCAATCTTCTAAGGATGAGATTAATGGTTAGGATTTGTCACATTTTATTAAAAAAATTCTAATATTTGGCTTACATTTCTAATCCTTTCAACGAAGGTGTGCTCAAGGGCAATTAGGGCGATTACACTTGTGGAAGAACTAACGCTTGACTTCATGTAAGTCTGAGGAGGAGGACAATTAACGTGGATGCTTTTGTATGGAACATATATATATATATAAATATATATATATATATATATATATATATATATAATAATAATAATAATTGGAGCAAATTTAATATATGAATATAACTGATACGTACTATTAATCTCGGAAAAATATAGTGAAATATTAATTTTAATTGATAGACCGTATACTTTACTCGAATCAAATTGAAGAAATTTAAAACTGAAAAATTTATCTTATATTAAAATTTTTAGCTTAATTATTGTTCTTCTGATTAATTAATCGCAAATCACAGTGGATTACTTCATAAGATGATTAGAAGTCATCCTCGTTTGTCCCAATATTGATTTGCAATAAGTAAACCTAAGAAGTTTTAAGGGGCAAAAAGCAAATCTGGGAGCTCTATATCATCACGCAACCAATTGCTTAACAAAGGCTATTTGGAATTCTGCCCAGCTGATTTTTTCCTTGCCATGAAAGCTAAGAGTTGGGCTAATAGTATGAACAATCCGAGTTTAGTAATTGCTCAAATTAAAGTTTAACATTTATTAGTTAAGAGTCAACTCAAAGAAGCTGAATCAAGGGGAAATATGAATGGAATGGAATACTGGGTAATTATGCTTGGCTTCTATCTTGATGGTGAATGTTGTGGATCCAAAATTGATAATTTTTTTTCATTGAAGGACTGAGCAACAAAAATTATTGGGAATGCAAAGAAGCAAAATTATTCTCATAAGATGGGTCGAGTTTGGTCTGTTAGAATGCAAGAAGAGATGGTATGACTTACCTCCCTTTCATTTATGTTCTTCAAGATAGGTTGCGGCTATGGCAAGTTATTAGAATGCGGAAGAATGGATTGTGGTTTTCAGAGGATGTAAGGCTTAGCGGAGTATTATAAATTTTGCATATTTATATTGATAAATCTAATATGTACATTAAAATGGACTGTTTATCATATATTTTAGGTGCAATCCTGTAGCTTTCTCGTAGAAGAAGGTTTGAAACCGGAGGATGGCATTGGAGAGGCAATAGAGAAGGTGTTCATGCAAGTGATCATGAGTCCTAAACGTGCAGGAAGAGTATTGAAGTGAAAGAAACAAAAAATCGTAAGAAAATTAAAGAACACAAGAGATTTTACGAGGTTCGGCAATGTGCCTACGTTCTCTGGAGCAAAATGGTGGTTTCTATTTCAGATGTAAAATTATGATTCCCATAGAGTTACAAATATTATATATGAATACAACTCTTAAGGAACTTACAAAAATACCCTTGTACCGGACGTTGCCCCCGCACCCCAACTCACTTAACAAAACTCTCTGATTTGAACAGATGCTTCTGCTGTCCTTCACTCCAATATCTATTCCTTATCAGCTATATGAGCCAAAACTAACAAGTATGAACACGAGTACATGATTAAAAGTGACTCCATCTTGATACTTTCCACGCACTATCAACTTCATAGGTGAGAGCAGTGGAGGTAGCTGCTTTGACCTAGTCGCCAACAGGCCTGAAGAGAAGTTGTAGTCTGTAAGATCTGAAATAAGAGTATTTATGCAACAGTTTCAGACACAGTTTTCAACATGCGGCAGCTCACATCTGGGCTGCGTGTATGTTAAAGAAGAGAGCAGAAATAATATGTTTTATTGTTAATAATCTGTCAATTTTATTGCGACGGTGAGCTTCTTATTTCTCTTGTTAAAATGTGTTACTATAATCAATGCATGATTTTGAGTGATTGAACTAGGCTGCGTGTTGCTTTACTGTTAGAAATGTTGTGGTATATTGAAATAGTACGATGAACGACGAAGTGAAAAATAGAACAAAAAAAATTCACACAAAAAAAAGAACAAGCAGATTTGTGATTTGACAAATTACCTACATCTACGGAGTTGCAGAAGATTTTATTAATTGAGGAATTTACACTAGTTTGATCACGTCGACAATTACAGGGTCTCCCACTTGCTTTATCTCTCTCTACACCGAGATTCACCCAAGAGCAAGAACACCGAAGAGGAAGAAATACGTACAAGAGAAAAAAAATCTATTTCTCTTCTGCCGCAAACCAACAAGAAGAAATCAAGAAGAGCAACATTCTTCTTCCACTATCTTTTTCTTTCTTCTGCCAAACACACAAAAAACAACACCTTGCAAAAACACCTGTCGAAGAGGAATATCAAGGGAGTGACGATTCCTCCCTCGCGATCGAACCAGTAGGCATCCAGCACAGTCACACGAGCAAGGTAAGCGGTTTTCTGTTTTGCGAGCGAGAGATAGAGACATGGAGCTTGACTTTCTTATTTCGTGAACTGAAGAAGGCGAGTCTTCTCTTTTTCGCGAACTGAAGGAACGGAAGCGGGCGAAGCTTGCGGGAATGTGGGAGATGTTATTTAGTGATTTTTTTTTTGTTTTTCTGAATCGGGCTCCACCTCAACAAATCTCCCACTTGGAGACCGGTACACAAACAACAACGTCTTTTTCCTCAAACTGATATCCTCAACTGGCGGCGTAACGCTTTTCCTCAAACGTGTTATCCTCCACCTCTGAAACTCAAGACCCATGTATTCACACTAGAAGACCAATTGAAGCCGCACACAACTTCAGTTTCTCAAGAGTCCACTTGACCTTTTGTAGAGTCCACTTGTTCCTGTTTGGAAGTGCAATGTCAATATCTCCCATTCCTATCACGTTCAGAGCTTTTCCATATGCCATATATACTTTCCCAAACTCACCAACAACATAATTTCACATCAATTCCTGATGAAAAGTTGTATGGAAACAAGCCAGTAATCAGCAGAACTATGAACTGCTAATAGTAGTGCATCCTGTTATTCTTCAGTTACCACATTTGCATTGTCATTCTCCTTCTTATTACTGCAGTTCCTCTTTATGTGGTCAGTATTGCCACAATTCCAACAAGTTACTTGTTTACTTGACTTGCTCCTTGTTTTGTTATTTGATTTTGATCTTCCCCTATTTGAGTTCCTGTCATGAGATCTCCCTCTAGAATCAACATTTAGTGTCGAACTCAAACCTGAGATCTCGCTAGAATCTTTCCTGCACATCTCCTAAGCCAAAATTAAATCACGAATATCTTCATATTTCAAGTTTGATTTACCTGCATAATTACTAACAATCATCCTCATAGCTTCTCAGCTATTTGACAATGAAGCCAATAAGATCAGTGCACGTATCTCATCATCAAATTCAATTTCCACAGATGATAATTGATTTGTGATAATATATTTTGTGATAATATTGAAATCATTCAGGTGTTATAAAACAGACGTACCTTTGACCGCGACTTTATATATGCTTAAAAATACAAGATAAATATGGACGTAATAAATATTCAATAATTGTAAAGTCACACTTATCAATACAAGTATACATATCTCTCAAGTAATATAGGGCTCTAATGGAGTCCTAGATATCGATCCCACAGGGAGTGGTTTAGAACTGCGAACTAAGATTTTAGAAAAGTAATACTTTAATGACAACAATGAAGTTCAATTTGCTTATCTATCACTAA